CAGCGAATTTAAACAGGTTACTTTCCACCCCATCATCCAGATCGCTGATGAAGAAATTGAACAGCGCAGGCCCCAGGACCGAGCCCTGGGGGACTCCGCTACCCACCTCCCCCCAGGTTGAATATGACCCATCCACCACTACCCTCTGAGTGCGACCCCTCAGCCAATCTGCAATCCATCTGACTGTGTAGGCATGAGTCCTCACATGAATCACGAATTTTGCTAGACCTCCTGCCTAGGCCTAGTCCTAGTCCGGTGTAGAATAGAAGTAGCAGCAAGGGCTTAATACCCAACATGAAGTGGAATTCTACATTGGTCAAAATCTGGAATTAAGCTGAGCCATGATGCATCTGCTTTATTGGGCAAAACACATGTTAACTGTTGTCCCACCCTTGTCACACACCATCAAGGGGTGATGTGATCTCCCTGCTCAGTCAGACCTGTCTCTTGCAGTCACTTAGAGAGGCACCTTAAGGAATCTTGGCACGTGCTCCAGAGGCTTGGCACACCTGCCCAGGGTGGCTGGAGAATACAAGCATCTCAAGCTGCCTGTGCTTTCCTGCTGCAGAGTTAATGCACATCTCTGCAAGTGGCAAAATCTGTTACTGTTTTTGTCACACCACTGATTTTTCTTTGGTGTGGCATGACAAGGGACAGTGAGACGTACTTGCTCATAGTTTGTGCCACCATAAACATTTCTCAGAAAAGACTGATGCCAAGAGAAAGAATTGTCTGAATTTCTTTTCGCTTCTGATCTTCACAGAATCACTATGGAGGGCTGGATGGAGGGCACTACACAGCCTACTGCAAAAACCCTGCAAAACAGCACTGGTATAAGTTTGATGATCATGAAGTGTCTGACATCTCAGCATCTTCCGTGAAGTCCTCAGCAGCCTATATTCTCTTTTACACCTCTCTTGAACAGCGAACAGCAGAAATAGCCATGTAAAGTAATATGGGGTGAAAGAAATTGATTCTCTTTATAAATGCACAATACAGGTATAGAAATGCATATTAACATGCAAATCCATGACAAATATATAGTTACTTTAAGAATTAAGGGATGATTGCAGCAGCTTGTCTGCTGTAATATCTTCCTGGTCAGTGCTATTGCTTGAGTCAGAAGACTGATAATGCTTCCGGTAATACCAACATCTGTGAAATCATAAAAGCAAGCATTCTTATGTTACAATTTAGTTCTCAACAGCTATATTTTTAGTCTGCTGCAAAACAAAATTCTAGCTTAGTCCTTTAAAATCAATTAACAGGTAGGTTAAAATGTTCTTAAAACCACAGGCATATCCTGATTTCCCCCCCCCCCTTATTTCTC